AAATAAACGGTGGCAATGTTTTGATGGAGCAATATCACTTGGCTATGAAAATCAGGTCGTATAAATATTTGTACTTGCTGGTCACTTATGTTGACCGCGCACTGTATATAGAAGAACCAACTAAGGTGATGGGTATGGTAATACGTTCCACGAAAAAAATAATATTGTTCATGAATAACTATGGTATAGATATTTCTGATTTAGAAAAATATGGACCAAAATTTGCTGAAACTACAAATTATACCAATGATGATAAGGAAAAGGTTGCCCGATTTTTAAAGAATTTTAAAAAATATCTATATAAATTATTATTCTATGATAACGAAGTATTTAATAAAAAATACCCTAGTGAAGAAGAATTAAAGAGTAATAAGAAATTCGATTCGATATGTGACTGTTTTACTTGGATTGAAGAGTTATTTTTAAACTTAAAACTTAATAATAATAAAGAAGAATTGCCAGAAGAATCCGTAGAAGAATCTGATGTAGAAATTTCAGAGACGGACCTTTTTCGGAAAAAACTTAAAGCAGAAATTGATTCATGGGATTATTTTCAGAATTTAATCATTGACCCAAAAATTGACAAATATTATCCTCCAATAAGTATTATTTATGCTGAATGTGTACCTGCTGCAGAATATGTCTATAAAAAACTTGAAGAGGATTACAGTATTTTGTAAACCACATAATAATTAAATTGAAAGATAATTTACCGTTTATCATTGAATCCAAAAATGTAAATTATTATTCTGTTTTTTGTATGTATTTCATAACATGTGCAATTAAAAACTACATTTAAGTTTAAACGTAGTTTACGTCGTATTACAGTAATACTGACATTTTAAATAAAAATAACTTACCAAATTGAATCAGAATGTAGACTTTCTTGTATTTTAAAATAAAAAAAATTCTTAAGCATAAATAAAATTTACTTATTTTTTAAAATAATTCAAACATTTTTGATAGCACTTAACGATAAGAGCCTCTACCGATGATAAGAATTATCTACTTGCTAATAAAATGAAAAACTTTTTGAAAAATGAATCTCAAAGTAGTCTTATTTTGAATATTTATTAAAGCCCGGATTTTTATGCAAAAAATATAGTAAATATTCATGTAAAATAACAAAAATTAAATATCTTAAAACAATTAAATAATATAAAAATAAAATAACACTTCACTTACGTTTACATATTTGGCAAACCATTATCTATAGTTTAATTGAAACAATGTAAAAAACAAAACAACTAATTTTAAATGAATACCAATATAAAGTAACAAAATTCGTTTTTATATTTGCAAAATATAAATTTTTGTGATCATCGCGAAGCGCAATTTTATTGGACACAACTTTTTTCTGCATCCCAAGATTTTAATACGTATTTAAAAAACGAGACAACTTCATGTCAACTCTTCTATACCATGATTATTATTTTTAACAATTTCACTGTTAATTATTCCTTATACTTTTAGCTTCGATACGAAGTTGAGAAAGTATAAATTTTACTATGTGTTTTTTTATGTCAGTCGTCTATTTTTCTCAGCTCTCACCGAAACGATTTCTTTCAAAGATACGTTAATGTATCAAAAATCGTATCTAGTTGAAGACATAATCTTTAAAAATTAAAAAAATTTCCTTCGTTCCCCGTAAATTTTTTCCACATTTACAAACATTTAATTCAATCAAAATATTATGAAAACGTGTAGCCACTGAATTAAAATAAGAGTTTTTGATATAAAAAATTTCCCTCATTACTCGTAAATGAAGAAAATCTCCAAAAAAATTACAAATTTTTTACTTAAAACTGCCACAACGTTTTTAAAATGACCAAATCAATATAATTTTTTTTTATACGTGATACGTGAGGTATTTACCTATCATTTTGTATATTTTTTATATAAATCTGACCCTTTATCTGTTCATAGTACGTACTATGCCATATCCACGCTGTGTTGCGACCCCATTTGCTACCGCTTTTAATCTAAGCATTTCCAGGATTATTTGATTAAAAATACCAAAATTTGATATCCGCAAAATTCTGTGCCGATTCCTCCTCCATTTAATTTGTTTCCAACATTCTGAACTAAATCAAAACTTTCTGTGAGATTGAAACCAGTTTTTTTCAACTGTATAATTGTTTATAGGACACAAAATTAGATAAAATAATTAACAATTATTTCTGAATAGGGTTATCTTTAAATAATTCTTAAGTATTTTGAGTAGCTATTGCTAATAAATTGCACCAATAACTTCTATGCCATTTCTTAAATTATGCCATTATAGAGTGCTAACAGGAAATAGCGGTAAATTTAAATTTGGGCACATTTCTTTAAACTTTATTAACCAAATAGGTGCTTTTATAAAAATTATTTTTGTATTTAAAATTAATTTATCAACTTTTGGGAATTTATTCCTCCTGTCTTCCGATACTCTATGAAGTCTAAAGACCATATAATATGAATAAGTTTAGTATAAAATACTTAAAGTGATTTATCATATAAGTAATACTTGATACTTATAACTAATGAATCATAAATAATTTAAAAATAGTTTGTAAGTTGACCTTTTCCAATTCGTCAACTGTTAAAACTATTGGTTTTTTATTTTTCTGGAGATTGTAATGTTTAAAAAACGGTACTCCCTTTTTTTTTAATATTTGTATATTTTATAAACATTTTATTTTAGTTGTGCCGACAGCAACGGCGTTATTATATTTATTATCTTCATGATAAGGATTGTTATATAATATAAGGATTCGTTGTTGCGCGACGAAATAGACAATAAGTGTGGTTTATTTTGAGAAATAATGAATTCCTCACTTCTTTTCCTGATATAGGCCATTTAGAGATAGATAGAGGTGTCGTGGTAAGTGTCATATAGTTTGAAGCACCCCATCCAAACAATATCTAAAAAAGGAAATCTGACCTGATAATTCTCTAAGATATACTACTGTATAATTATTAAGTTAATTTTCCAGTAACTCAGCTAGTTAAATTAATTATAAGCAAATTAATTTATATATAAAAATTTCATATACAAATAACGAAAAACACCAACTTTCTAAATTAAAATTTTTGTTCGAAAATCCGCCAAGTACTTCATTAATTTTAGTAAGATTACAATTATGGCAGACAATCCAACATAATTTGGACGGTAAAAAATTTAATAAAGCGTATCATTGATTTCATCACAATATAAATATTTCTGATTTAAAAGAAATCATGAGCAATTTTTCTGAGAATAAAGAATATAATATGATAAACAATCAAATAAATCATTAGAAGAAACAGAAATAGAAATTTTTTATGACAAACTTAAAGAAGCAATTAAGAATTGGACGTTTTTTAATAATTTAAACGTCAATGATGAAATGAACAATTTTTTTCCTCCGAAACCAATTATCGGACCTATAGAAATATATTTATATATAGGAGCTACACAATATTTTGTTAATAGAAATACCATCAAATGCGAATGAAGAAGCTGAAATAGAAACTAAATGCAATGTATGATATTTTGACGTATCGTTGAGCAAAACCGATCCACCAGTAGGACCTGAAAAAAGTGACGAAAGATACTTTCATATTTATTATATCATAATTAAATTAAAATTTGAAGCTTAAATTGTAAATGAAATATTTCATTGAAAATTCAGGACTTAGAATACAGTAAAATAATTTTATTCTTAAAATATATGTAACTGTCATCAATTAAAATAATAAATGACACGGATCTATAAAAAAATGTTTGTTGGTTTTTTATTTAAATATCATAGTGATTTCCCGTTGCAATAATCTTACACATGTATAAAACTACTGCAATGTGCATTCTCACTAGGGTCCTATCAGAGTACTGTGTTGTCCTTGTATAATTCATATATTACTAAAAGAGCTATTAATGGTTTCGTGACAAATAAAATAGACTCCCAACCTAATAATTCTTGAATGATTGTTCAAAAAAATAATAACTTCAAACATTATAATAATCTAAAAACTAGCTTTTGTAATCCAATGTACTATTATAGTAGCATGAGATTTAAAAAAAAATGTTGCTAATTAATTCCATAAAAAAATGTTAGCACAGTGAGGGCGCGATACAGTAGGGACGTGATATAGTTGAGACAATAATTGTTATAGATGATATCTGACAATGATTAAAATCATCATCGTAAAAACAATTGCGATGTATATTTCTAGACAGTGTTTGATTTTAAGAAATTGGTGGATTATTCTAAATGCAACGTTAGTCCCTATTTCCTTAATCATGTCCTGATTAGTAGTTCTTTGATTTATTAATATAATATATAAATATATACTAATTATAGAAATTAACTTTAGTATAAAATTGATGTTCAATAATTTAATATTGTAATATTTACGGAAAAATGATACAAAGTTATAAAAAAGTTGTATTTTTCGTTAATTGGCAAATGTATAAAAAATATTATTTGTTAATTATGAATAAATATACATAAATACAAGGAATTTTACCATAGACCAGAATATACTTTTCTATGCCTAGTTTTGTGCCGAATTCAAAATAGCAATTCGTTTTCTTTCATCGCCTCTTTTTTTTAGATCATTATTAATTAGTTAAAAACAAGTATTTACATTTAAAATAATTATAAATTCATATCAATATATATAACAAAAACATAAGAGAAAAATCCAGCACAGTGAGTTTGTGACATAGATTTTTTCAATACTTGGTAACATTAAGTTCAACTAGATTAATATCGGGTTCTTTTAATACATTGATCATTAAAATCAGTCTAGTGAGTGTTGAGAGTTTTCATTGGCAGAAATAAAATTGCTGACTGCTTTATGAAATAATTGTCTGGATTTATCCTAAAAAAGCGTAATAAATTATAAATAATAATTAATAAATAGTAAAGTAATAAATTGTGACAAACTATTAACCAAATCAAAATGGATTACTCTTTACTACTTCCATAATATTGGAAAATTAGAAGAATTTATAATTAAAATATAAAATCATGTTATGCTTAAATACCTTTAATGTACTTGACATAAAAACAACAAATATTTTTCATATTTATATATAACATAATATATATATATATATTATGTGACATTTTTAGTAAGTACAAAGGTTCTTATTGATCTAACATATTGTCTAGTTTTCTAATTAATTAATGAGGCACTATACACAAACGACAATAATAAAAATTGTAATATTTATTTTATTTTTGCTATGTTAACATCAATTGAATAAAATAAAGTTATTAAAATGAATTATATTTTCTTAAGTGACTGTAACAACTAATTTTTTATTTTGACGTTTGTATAAATTCATGTTTTAGTTATAGATAGAGTACTTATGATTTAATTACACTTCAGCCATTTATAAAGGGGCTATACTGTTTATTAAGTTTTAATAAATAAACGGGTTTGAAGAGAATATTGAACTAATAGAAAGCAAAAATGTCAACAAAAGTAACAAAAGTTACAAAGTATTTTTAAATTATTTAACTTTAAATATTGTATTGATTTCAAAAAAATTAAAATAGCTATAATTTAAAATAAAATAGTGTTCCAAATATATAAAATATTGGCACATGACTGGAATATATTTTATGACCTTTTTATCTATATTTTTATGCTCAAAAAAATGTGGAAAGGCATATACGATTACAAATAATACATAAGAAAATATATATAATACAAAAACTATGCTAACAAGTGATATATTTAAATTAACAACTAGGAAATATTTTAATAATAATAATAATAACTGTCAATACTATTTTTTAACATAATAATACATAATTTTACATACATAATTTACTCTTTAGTAAATGTTATAATACATACATTCCATAAAACAGCATTATTTTGACCAGTATATATAAAATAATTGCTAATATTTATAATACAATTGAAAGTAATAATTTTAATAATAAAATAAACATTAATGTGTATCAATAGAAAAATATGCAGTCTATTGAATACACAAATATCACAGAACACGCACACAATCACTATGTATTATACGCAACTATAATTGATTAAAACATTAATTGTTCATATCTAGACAGCCATATGAAATATATAAGGTCTTATATATAATGAAAGGTGAATATGTCTAAAACAGTACAAACGGCAATAAAACCACAAGCGAAAGAATAAAAGAAAGTCAGTTATTAATAACTATTAGAATAATTTGAAGAATATTATTTTCAATGAATTGTGCAAAAAAAAAAAAAAACTATTGAGATTTGTTTCCTTTAAAAGAATAATTGATTTCAAATAAAATATAAAGAAAAAATTGAACCCATGCAATTTAAAATAAGAGTTTAAAAGTTGCTTTAATAGTATTTAATAGTATTCAGAATTTTAATATACCTGGGTTCAATTTTACATCAAAAATATTACAACTTTATCTAACAGAAACAGAGAAGAGTAAACAAGCTTTTACGTAATTTAGAATTTACAATAGCAAAATGACAAATTCTTCATTTCCTAGAAATATTTTTGAATTAAAATAATAAATTAATTTAAAACACTATAAAATGTTCATTGTAAATAATCCACATATTAAATAAATAACATTGGCCATACTAATAGGTATGTAGTACAAATTAAATTTATAATATAAGTCTGATATTATATTTATAATCACTAATAGTTTACTAAATAAAACATAATTAAGTACATAGTGGTAGGATAAAAATTCGTCAATACCCTTAACATAATGTATTTCAGTAATTTTAACTTAATAATTAATTGAAAAATTGATATGTATGAATTGCGAGACCATAAAACACGTTAGGTACTTATAGTACATCAAATGTGCATTTTAAAGTTAACTTATGTCAATCAAATTATTTTCCTGGCTAATTTTATAATGTGAGAGTTGCATTATTGAAAAATCATAAATAGATTTAGAGAAAATTTCTCAAGAATAGTGAATTTTAGTTAACTAAATTTCTGATATGTAATTAAAAAATAAGTATAACATAGTTCACACAAGTATAAAATTGTTAATTCTGATTTTCACTAAAAAAAAATTTATCAATAAGAATCATAATTATTAATACTGAAAATTTTAGCATATTTAAGGAATTTATAAAAATTGGTTTTCTTTGAACCAATGTAATGATAAGATATTTTTGAACGTTTAAAATTATAGTACACTTAAAAATTACATAAATCTCTCCAGTTTTTAAGATTTTATAAAAATTAAGTACTTGTTTATAATTGCAACTAAGTAAAATATAAAGATATTTTCAACAAACCAATTTTATTACGTCTTTCTAGTAGTCTTAAAATTTTCAACCATCTTTTCAAACATACATTTAATTTTTATCACATTTGTACTTCAAAAGTTTTTACAGTTTTACTTTGACCTGATGTTAACGGACTACTTAAAAAAGGATTAGTGTTCTTTTTTGGGGCCATATAATTGGGATCAAACGGATTAGCTGAAATACCATTAAAATTTGTACGGTACATGTTTTCAGCTGTATCTAAAGAGTACGCACGACTATGTGAAGCTAATGTAACATGTCTTTTAGGAGTTATCTGGGGTTCTGTTGTATGCAAAGTAACAGCAGCTACTTTTCCTAGCCATTGTTCTGGTCTAGGTAAAGTAGATGGAGGTGTAGCAGGTGGTGTTGGTGGTGTAACAGCTTTAGTATTCAAATTCCATAGACTGGAACCAGAATCAAAACCTTCATCTTGTTGAGGACTAACTCGGCATTCAAGTTTAGGAGTACATTGATTACTCTGAGTTAGTGAATTTGATGATTTTTTAGGTAAACTTGCAAGAAAAGCTTCACTCCCAGTGATTGGACCATGTTTTGGTGTATTTTCTGTAAAAAAATATATATATTTATGATTTTTTTTTTTAAATTAAATTAATTATAATTATAATAAATTACCAAATTCATTTAATTTAAATTTTTCAGGGAAATCATCGTTATCTGTGCTATTTGTAAGAAATGCCATTTCCAAAGAAAATTGTTGGCACATTACAGTGACTTGATCAGTTGGAGTTATTGATTTTTCACTACGAGGTGACACTTCGGGAATAGGACTTACTATAAAATCATTTTTATGAATAACACATGTTTTTTTATTGAGTACCTAAGAAATTCACAATTTAGTTTACCTTGACTGGAAAGTGGCATAAATTTATTAGATGTTTTCTGTGAGCTGCCAGTAGGTTGCAGGCTCATAGACCTAGTTCTTTCTAGATTTGAAGGTAGCTCCGATATTCTAAGAGATAGTTGCCTTTTGAAAGGCGAAGCTTGATTAAGTTGTGAAAATCCTCGAAAAGAACCTTGCCTTTGTAACATTGATAATGTTGCATGAGGTCTTTCAATAGCTTTAGTATCAACTTTGGGTGTTGTACTATTTTGCTGCAATGGCTTTATCGAAGATGTAATGTCTATCACAAATAATATTTTACTTTGATTAATTATACTATTGACAAGTTTATATAGTATAACGGTTAAATAAAATTACTACAAATAATATTTTTTTATCTAATATACCTTTATTATTTTGAATAAGGAAAGCAGGTGGTTGAGGGGGCGCATTAAGTGGAACACTTGGTTCTGATAGTTGTTCAGTTAAAGATTGTGTTCTGAAACTACCAGTTCTGGTAAAAACTGATGTTTTTGGATCATAGTTCATGGTGACAGAGCATTCTTCTTCCCGTTTGTTTTTTCTAATTAAACATTCTTGAAAAGCACATCCAACAGCATGGCTTAATCGGTCGCCCTATAAAATAATATAAATTAATAATGTAAAATCTAATAAGAATTAGTTATTAATATACTTACCGATTCTTTAAGTGCAACAAAACCGTGGCACATCCATCGGCGGGTAAGTCCATCACGACAAATATATGAGAAACCTTTTTCGTGACTTCGATCAGGCGCACAGAATGAAACTTTTTCGATTGTTTGATCAACTATCAAACCCTGCGGATTAAATATAAATAAATTACAAAAACAATAATAATAATATTAAAGCTTTATTAATTTACCTTAGTTTCCTCTTCAACTACACGTAACCCATCACCAGATATGTAAAATATTGCCCTTACTGGTCTCCGACGAGACGCCTAATGTAAAAAAAGGTTTACAATTTGGTTTTTTTTCGTTTATTTAAAAAAATCAAAACAAAACAACTCAATTACCCTTAATGTTTTTAATGCTTCTTCGCATACTTCCATGCCTCTGGATTCAAATACTTCTACACAGCCCAAATACTGAAAACGTAATAATCAATTTATGGTTATTTTTTAAACTAAGATAATTTTAGTGTTAAATGTTTTTTGTTTCACATTATTTATTGAAAGCTAAATATAACAGACAAATCTACGTGGACCAGCCTAACAAAATCAAACTCAGGCATTACGTGATTCAACCTGAGTTACATAGAATACTCGATTTGTAATTATTTATCTAAAAACTTAATCACCTTAACATGAAAGGAACATATTCCAGCCCGTACTTCAGCTTCGTCCATTGCCCACAAATGTGGTTTAGGATTAGAATGGTGACTAGGAGAACCCGTGTTTCCTAAGTCTTTACGACGTCTAAAACTGTCACGAAAACTACGCCGTAGTCGATCCATTTTTGATGGCGACCTTCCACTCTGCAAAAAACAAAAAAAATTATAGTTATACACTAATTTTAAAATAATGAGTCTTATACGGTAAAAAATCACTGAATCACTAAATTAAATGCGATTTTTTTTTAATACCAATTAAAATTAAAATCATTAAAATAACATTTTAAATAAAATTTCAACGTGAATTAAGTTTATCATTACATTTAATTACAGAACAATGAAGATTTACACACAAATTATATGCAAAAAATATTTTTTTATTAACTGAGAACATTTTTTAAAATATATTATATAATATTTATAATTTCATTAACTATACACCCATGAGCTGAAAAAACACAGGAAAAAAAATAACATAAGCTTAAATGTAAATAGTAAATGGTTTTACAACAACCTTTGAATTATACTTATCAGTGGCTTTTTTTTTTATTTGAAGAGGATGTGAAGGAATTATGTAATAATTAGTTTTTTGTATATTACAACCATACCTCAGAATTGATTTATTTTAATCCATCCGGCTACTAAGACTACAAGAAAACTAAATAATAACATTGTGAACAATTGTATCAGCTGTAATTTATTTTATAGGTTTTCTAAGTTTTTCTATTCTTTTCATTTTACTTTGGAGAGTTAGAAAAAAACTATCATAAAATCTCTTCAAAATATTTCATTGAATTATTTATATGTAACCTATGTTATTAACATTAAAAAACAAACTAAAAACAAAAGTGATACATCAGAAGAAATAAGATATGTACCTAATGAAACATAATAATGAGTTATTATGCTTGTTTGGTGTATTAAAAATGAATCATTAATTTTGGATGACATTAGTTCAAATTTTTAACACAAGTTTCACGGCAGTAATATTAGTGAATATTTCAAAGTGGACTAAATATGGTATTTGTTTTACACTACATAAAAATAATAATTTGGACATACTAAGCGATAAACAGGGTCATATATTAAATTGTCCGTATTGTTTTTCAACAAACTTTTTTTTAATACTTCATAAAAACGACTAAAGAAACTGTAAATAAACACGGTTATTTAGCTTACAAGGAAAATAATCAAATATCACGGCGTCTAAACACGACCACAAGACATTGTTACAATAACAAATGAAAGAGTTANTTTTAATACTTCATAAAAACGACTAAAGAAACTGTAAATAAACACGGTTATTTAGCTTACAAGGAAAATAATCAAATATCACGCGTCTAAACACGACCACAAGACATTGTTACAATAACAAATGAAAGAGTTATATTATTTTTTAGATACAATAATAATAGAAGGAATAAAAACAAGAGTCTTCAGACAGTCAAATAAACATTTTCAAGTGCATTTAAATCTCACAAAACGTTTAACCGTTTAGTCTATAAGCAGCTTAGTATCGAAAAGTTTACTGGAAAATATAATTCCGTTCCAAGTAGAATTATTTATTCCATTACATAAGTCATCAGAGATTTTTGGATACGGACGAAAATGTTTCATATTTTATGAGATACTGCGGCTTACGATTTATATAACTCGCTCAACGAGACATTTCCGATGGAAAAATAACAGTGTTGATAGGAAGATAAGGCACGATTTTTTTTTCGTTTTTCACGTGTATTCCCCTAGTGCAAGCGGTGAATAAGTTTCTTTTTGCCCTTTAAGAACTCTAAAGGGCGTAGGCTTCACATAGACATCGACACAAAGCACAAATAAGTGCAGTGCACTCGTCAAATACGCGAAACAATACCGACGTGAACCCTTTTACATGGCGTCGAGTGGTCATGAGTAGAAGTCGCAATTATAGCCGGTCTGCAGCACTACAGAGGATTATACCTGCCTTATTTTTTACAGATCTCGTCGAGTGCATTGACCGACGCCGTATCCTAATAACGTTATTGTTTAATTAATCGCGTTACCAGGATCGCCGCTAAAGGATGACCGTGGGATATAGCGAGCACGGTAAAAAATAAACCCCTTTCGTGAACACTTCCGCGTTCACGCTCGGTGAAGCGTAAATTTCTGTGTACGGTAAATACTATCTGCAGAATGTGCGCCAATACGAACTCCGCTCGGGACAATACACGGGATCCAATAGGGAATACATAAAAAAATTATCCAAACGGAAGTATTGGTTATTTCATATTGCACGTTTCACCGTAGTAAACGAATACCTTTGAACCTGTACAATGTTCAAACGTTATGAATAATCAATGCCGTCCACACCAATTCGGAGAAAAAAAAAACAAGCAAATTAATAACCACGTGTTCTTTACATACAGTCTGTCATGATAAAAATATCGACTCGTTAATTTAGATGAAAACAGTTTAAAAATGTACTCGGAAGAGGCTTCTCGAGACGCTCCTTCGAAAACACTCGTTGACAGGTAAAGATAAATATAGTTGTTTATTTCATGGGCAAATATTCCTCCTTCTCTGTACATTGGTTTTTTTTTTCGACTTTCCGCGTCCAATTTGAGAAAAAATACATTGTAATATTTTTATACGTTTCCGGTACAACGACGTCTGTTAATGCGTGTAAGTAATGCGCTTACAAAGAGTTTATCTCATCACTCGACAAGTTTATATTCAACAGACTCCATACGGAGACATGTGCTTTATGTTTCGAGCGTGGAAAACTTTCGACTTGGATTTATTCATTTCATGAAATATATATGATAGGCACCGTGTGAAAAAAACATTATACCGCATCCGTGAAATGTAATCGTAAGAAGGTGATATTTATTTTTTCTTTAGGCGTTTTGATTGGTTGACTTATAAAGACAAACGTATTGTTGTACTCGTTGTCACGAGAGCGGATTAGACGATTGCGATAAAATATCAAACGATGAAATTTAATACAAAACACATTACACGTTTACCGTGTGTTACACTCTTCGAGAGTCCAATACAAACAACACATTAGATAGCTGCACTTTCACGTATACTAACAGGGCAAAATCCTTTCACTTGTCACAACATCACATTAATACTACGATGCCCGAACAAAGGTAAAAAGACGATCGCCTTTCATGCTTATTGGATTACAAACAACTAGTTTTCAGCGATACAAAATTATTTATGAAGCATAAAAACTGTAATAATAATTATCAAAGGTGGTCGCGTCGTACACAGAAAACGCGTTGTCGTTACCATCGTCGACATATCATAACCGTAGACCATTCTCGTCGGATGCGCGCTACTGGTTATTGATTTTTTTCATGAAAATTAAAAAAAAAAAAAAAAAAAACAACACTCGAGTATCATTAGACGTCGTCTAATGTGTAGCTGCTCCTGCAGGTTCCCACGACGGACCGGCTTATCTCGGCCGACAAAAAGCGCAATATGTGTAAGAGACAAGTGAAATGTTATGGTATATTAAACACGTGTCGTCGTCGCTGCAGCCAGTAAGGAGACGCGGTCGGAGGGGCACGTGGCACAGACCAGCGCGGCGACGGCATTTTAGCCGCGTGCGACTTCCTCGTACGATTATCGGCAGTGTTCAGTGTACGCGGGTCGAAGAGATTAACGCCCCCTCGGAAAAAAATAAGCATCGTATCTCTTTATTAAACACACGCCGTCGAGTACAGTGCACTGAAAGTAAAATAAACGTTTGAAAAAGCAAAACGAAACTGCAAAACGTTAAATACAAATTGAATTATAATAATCAGACGGCTATTCGGTTGTTCCTCTAAGAGTTTTGTGCCAATCGTGGGTGGCATTCGTTGAATTCTCCAAGTCTGATTGAAATTAAGCAAAAACGACGGTAAAAAAAGCAACTTTCAATTGAAATGCGCAATGATCGGACGCGAAGAGAATTTTAATGATATAAAGTCTGACGTCAACGATTTAATATTTTTAAAACTTGCAGCTCAGAGTTTCGGTGTTTAATTATTGCCAGCAAAATCGCCGAGGTGAATTTATTTTTACTCAGTCATTAAAAAACAACTCACGTCGAATTTGCGAATACTTCCGGGGGTTTGTTGATCCAATAAGTCTTATCGAGCCTGTGGTTTATATAGCGAAAAATAGCCGTGATAAAATAAAAATAGCACAACTAAATTTTTATGTGCCGAGTACAACCTTTTCGTCCACCTCATTGACATTCAATGAAAAATAGATTTTTTTTATTCTGTTATACATTTACGATGACTACGGTCATCAATGGGAATTTATGTTATGCATTTTCAATAATTCACACGGGACACGAAGAAGAAAAATTTGTGTGAATAGTTGAAAATGCCCCTTTTTTAACACTTCGGACCCCCCTCGCCTTTACCTGTGTACGAGTAATATGCATGGCAATGGGTCTCCCAAACGAGAAACACCGTACAAATCATACATCTGCTACGCGGTGTACACGTTCCCACAGGAGGGTACCAAAAAATAACTATTATCTTACCAATGTCTTAGGGACGTTCGGCCAAAAAACAACACTATACGCGGTCTGTGTACCTGGTCGTCGTGTGAAAAATGATTACACAAACGAAGTACAGACAATTTTAATCACACACAATGCGTACGTACGAATGCATTATGTACAATTCCCTAGGTATATTATTGTTCTTATGGAATACATGATTACAATAAGAGTATGTTATTTCGTGCCCGAAGTATTGGCATTGTTTCGTCCTAGGAAAAAAGTTTGTACACGATATTATTGTTTGTACGCCAAACATGCTAACTATGTTTGATAAAAAATTCACACAACACAATTATTCGACTAGGTTTTATCGACAACACGAAGAAATTCGATGACTATCCGAGTTTTCAGTCGCGTTGTTATCATTATTTTCTAATGACACAATACAACAAAATTGAAAAAAAAAAAAAAAAATTACAGTCGCTACCACGTACGAAAAAGCGGTAGAAAAAAATGCACACCGACTAAATTCCGGTAATACTTGGCGACAATAAATGTTCAATAAACACAAAACTGTTTCATTGGAATAGTTGTTTGAGACAATTGTTATCGCAAGGCTGGTGTTAAATTATTATGACTAGCAGCGTTTGACTTTGGGTCGGTG